GAAACATAACCGTGGCGTTGTGCATGTGTGTGTGTGTGTACGTTTGATCAGGTCTGTAACCGGACCATGCCTCGCGCAAATGCGCCTGCACATGGGATAGAGCAGAGTGACGGTGGAAACGTGAGATGTTGACACACACGCAAATGGACGGCATGCAAGAAGGAGAAGACACACAAACACGCACTCACAAGCACAGACAAACAGACAAACAAACAGACTCACAGACACGGACACAACCCCACAGACACCCACACACACACACACACACACACACACACACAAGACACACCCACACACAGACACAGACAAACCACACACCCACAGACACACACCCACACACACACACACACACACACATCGGCACGCAGACAACTGCTGCCCCTCCATAAACACAAAAGATGCCCGACCTTCGCATTTTGAAAGGCGGGTCTCGATATCCGCGATGCGGTTGTCGATTGCATCAAGTCGTGTGGTGGCAATCTGGTCCATGAGATCTAATTGCTGCACCATGGACACAACCATCACATCAAGCGTCGCCTTCACGTTCACAGACAATGACCCCTTCAGCCCACCAGGTGCATCCAGCGAAATGTTCGCAGCAGCCTGATGGTGTGTGTATGCGTGCGTGCGTGTGTGTGTGTGTGTGTTATGTGTGTTATGTGTGTGTGTGTGTGTTATATTGGGTTGCTGGCAAACGTGAGAGAGAAGCAGTCGCCTCACAACTCCACACACTGCACTTCCTCGCTCAAATACACCCCAACTCCCAAAGCGCCATTGCACGTACCTCCTCCAGAATGACTGTTTCCAGCTCATCTGTTCCTCCAATGGCGGTCTGTCCAAATCGCCGCATCAGCGCGTCCTCGTTCTCAATGTCATGACGCAATCTGAAGAATTTTCGGTTCGGTGACATCTCAAGGATCCAATCACGCGGCTCGTAAAACGCTTGCAGCTGTGTATGCGTGCGTGCGTGCGTGAGTGAGTATGCGTGCGTGAGTGAGTATGCGTGCGTGTGTGAGCGTGCGTGAGTGTGCGTGTGTATGCGTGCGTGCGCGAGTGTGCGTGTGTATGCGTGTGTGTGTGTGTGTGTGTGTGTGTGTGTGTGTGTGTGTGTGTGTGTGTGTGTGTGTGTGTGTGTGTGTGTGTGTGGGTGAG